TTTTTTCTTCTGATCTTTTAAAATTACCATCACTAACTACAGACATCCCACAAAATAAACACAACATGTAATTGCTCATTTACTCTGTCACCAGCACAGCTGTGCTGCATGCTGTAATGTTTTAGATGGTGAGAACAGGTTTTGCTGTGCAAAAGGCAGACTATGCAGGATATAGAGAAAACATGAACTGAGAAAATTATCTTTCTTCATCTCTAAAAGCAGTGTAACATCACAGAACGAGAAAGTCAAGTTATGTCTAAAAGAGAGGAGCTCTGAACTGTTTTTCTCCTGCTGTAAAACCTTAGTCAGTTGTGAGACTTCTTTCACATCTTCAGTTTCCATAGGAGTAACATAGGATGTTCCAGACCATCATTTCCTTGGTTTGCAAGATATACAGGTTCCCCAGGGAAGAGCCTAAGTCATGATTAAAATCTATAAGTCGTTATGAATTTGTATGACTGAAAAATATAGATTGAGTGTTAGCAGACAAATAATATGTCGTTCTTTCAGTAACAGGTGAAATACAAAAAAGTTCAGAGTTTCTATTTTTGCCAGATTTTTATGGCTGCATCAGTACGTTTGTCACAGTTCTTTTTTTTTGCATTTTTTTTACAATAATTATCTTACGTATTTACAGTAATTATCTTGGCCAAAGGTTGACTCCATATACAAGAAGTATTTACATATAACTATTTTCAGTGGTATTTATCTTCATTATTGTGTCATGGTTCATATTGCATAGTTAGTCTCCCTCAATTAACCTACACAGTGTTTGATTCAAAACTAATCTTGGGTCAGCACATCTAAGAATGCAGTTAAAAAACTTGATATTTTGCATGCGAGGAAACTTATGCAAAGGTCCTTTCAGTCCTTTCTGATCTTTAAGTTTTTAATACCAGTGTTGATATTTCTGAGCTTTAATTGTGTGTGTGTGGGGGGGGGGAGTTTGTTTTTGATAATTCAGTGATTGATGAAGAGTTTAACACAGCATTCCTGAATAAGCTAAAAAGTATTAAAAAAAAAAAAGTCTGTTAAAGGCTGACTAGTTCAGTCCTCACTTTCTTTTCCTAGATTTTATTAAAGCTGTAGGAATAATGGAAGAATTCATTTTGAAGAACTTTTTGTTTTATAAGTTAATGGAGACTATTTGAAAATCTTCTGATTATATTAGATAGACAATTTGAGTTTCTTAGTCCAGGATTCCCATACTAATAGAGTCTTATTTTTCACTTTCAGTTCAAATTCTTTGCTTTTGTATTACCAACAAATAATTCTGCAAATTACTTTAGATGCTTTAGATGATGCTTTACGTTAAAAGCTCACATTATGGATCCTGAGAGACAGGAAGCCTTGAAACGGGCCTTTACAAACCTGTACTTCTACAAGTAAACAATTATCTTTATTATTAGTCCTTGAAAATCTGTCTAATTATTTTGCAGGAAAGAAAAATAAATATCTCTCTTGTAAATATGAGAGAAATACGAATATGAAACCTGTCAAAGATGTATGTAAAATAACAGTTTGAGATATTTACACAAGTATAAATATGATACATTTCAATGACATGAAAAGCAGTCTCCTTTTTGCATGAGCAAAGTTGGAGATGTGATTAAATGGTTCAGTGGAAGTCAGTGATGTTGGCAGTCCAGGATTCGTTTGTATCTTAAAACAGTAGAAAATAGGAAAGGTTGCTGGTAAAAACCATGAATCTATTTTCTCTTGTTTAAAAAACTCTTTATAATCGGTAAAATTTGATATCAGTTTGTACTTAATGAGCCTTCTCCTCTTACGGTTATACAAAGTATTTCTGTTCCATCTGTAGACACAAGAAAATTATATTTTGTGGTTTTGTTTTTCTTTGTACAGCTCTGTGGAACAGTGGTAGCAGCTACTGGAAACATTAAGAGGTAAGCAGTGAACTTGTAAAGTTGATTACAAATCTATTTTTTACTATTTTTGAGAAAACTACTTCATTTTCAGTAGCAAGAATGTTGTAAGGTAAATAAAAAAAAAAAAAAAAAATCCTGAGCTGTAGTGATATTCATATTATGTGCGTATACGCTTACATTCTGGTTAAATTGTGTTGTAATATAATTTACAGTTACATTACTCCTCGTCAGATTTTCTTGAATTGTTTTTGTGATTATTTCCAGGTTATAGAAATGAGGCTCAAGATTCACCTACGGGAATATAACATTATTCTTCCAAGTATATTGGCATTTGCATTCATCTTCCAAATACTGAGCCACTTGTTTTATGTGACCTGTACTGTAAATCACAAATACACTATTGAATGTTATGCCATAAGCTACTGTACAGAATATTTAGTGACCAAGGCACTGCCCTGAAATACCACTGTTCAAGGCTTGAATTAATTTTTTTTTTTTTTTGTTTTTTACTTTTTTACACTGGGCTTTCTATCTTACATCACAGTATATAACTTCATTAGGTTAACAGACTTTGCTTAGCTTTCCTCTGACAATTGGTTAAGTTCTTAAACTGTTGGGATGTGTTAAATACAGTATATACATGTTTACATAAAAAATGCATTTTGTATACAGAGACTTTTGTATATACATTTTTCTGAAAACTTAAGTGTTTAGTTAAGGTTTTAATATTGTATAGTAAACTTCACAAATGAATTTACCAGCATGATCAGTGTTGCTATTTGGTGCTCTTGAATGACCACTTTTGACTAAATTTTAAATGTAATGGGATCCACAATGTCTCTTTGTGTCTCTGAAAAGTTCAGTTGCAGGGTTTTTTTTTCCTCTTTTTGAATTATTTAATATTTAGTGTCTTGCAGTATAGACTATAGACCTAAATGGGTCTGCTTGGAGAAGTTTGAAACTGTGTTTGGGTGGGAGGGTTGGGAGTGTGTATGATGCATAATAAGGCAAAAAAACAAGCTAAGCTTTCTAGAGTTGAGTAGTACTCAAAAAGAGCATGAAAGATGTCATAATGTTGGTGATTATCAGAATGCTTTACATTGTATTTCCTATCTTTTCCTTGCTCACATCCAGTTCTGTAATGTCCTTTGATAGGTATCACTGTTAAGTTGTGGCTCTTTCAGCAGCCAGTGATTCTTTAAAATGTGACTTCACATATTGAAATTCAAACCTTTTTAGAAACTGGTTTTATATTCCTACTGTTTGAGTTAGTTACTACTTTTTAGTAACATTACTGCTGTTGAGTTAGTACCTTTTAGGCATACAGTTGTGTTGCTGAATTAGTTTAACAGTAGAATTCGTTGAAAGGGCCACAAGTGTGTCAATTACTAGTGTAATTGGGTATATTGAACTAAAACTGCTTCTCTTCCTGTGCCAGTATTCTTAACTTTACCAACAAGGTTTTTTGGCTTAAAGTAGCGATAATCCTGAAAATCATTGAAATTATTTTAAAGAAATGCTGAAAAGTGATACCAGTTTTTAATCTGGAATAACCTTATTTTTTCATTTTTAGGTCATATATGGAAACATTTCTAACTGACAGTATGTAGCATATGTGTATATATAATGTTCAGAACTGTAGATTTTTAAAAGTTTCTATTTTTAATTTGAGAAAATGTTCCCAGTTCATTTAAATAAAAAAGAACTTGCTTAACTAACTGATGTTTGATTTGCAATTGCTTTGTTTGGATAAAGGTCTGTCTCAGAGGGAGGCATTGCACTCAGTTAAGATCTTATGAAAATGAGAGAGTTTTTAATCATAAAAGTTTCTGTGATTTTTTTTTTTTTTCCTTCTGTTTCATCTGAAGCACAGGCAGATGTTCATGAGGACACAAATGCCAGATGGAAGTGGGACAAACAGCCACCAGTGCCATGTTAACTGCAACACATAAATACACCAGAGCTCTTGAGTCCAAGCCTTTCTTATCCTTGTAATCTGCTTTGTACTTCATAAATGCCCTGTCTTCAGTGGTTAAAAAAATGGAGTGTTTGATAGAGCTCCAAAACTGGTGTTAAGTATTTTTTAAGCATTTTGAACTCTTACCAGAGGGGGACAAAGAGGGAAGAGACTAGTGTCAGGCTTTATTATAAATCTGTGTTAAGTGATTTTTTTTTTTCCAGAAGAGCCTTTTTATTTTGATCAGTGTTGAGCAGCTAGATGCACAGTATATTATTTCCGTTCTTGTACGTAGGGCAGTTCTTAAGCTCGGACTTTCTGTCACTCCATAGCTACTCGAGCAGACCAAAATGAAGCGACACTTCTTCAAAAGCTGTTCAAATCAGGCTGGGCATATAGATGTCTTTGTGAAAGACGAGGTTCCTAATGAGGTCTCGGGAGGGAGCGCAGTTTTGTCGCATGCAACACAACAGCTGGGGCTTCTCCTCGTGGCCTCCTCAGTGCCAAGGCAGTCATGGTTCTTCTTGGCTCTTTCTAGTCGCTGCAGAATTCTGCACTGGAATATTTCTGCTTTCTGGCCATTACTTTATAGCTCATTCTTCTGAATAGGAAAATATTAAAAAAGAAAAAAGAAAAAAGGGGAGAGAAGGTCAATTTTGGGTCAATTCCCCATTACACAAAGAATGTGCAGTTGGTTCTTCCAAGGTTTTCCATGTGCTCACACTGCTCAAATGCTGACAAAATGAAATAGTAAAGCCACATTATTGTGCAAATCTGTAGAAGACCAAGTCTATCAAACAGTTTTTATTAATAGAATGTAATTATAATGATCCAGACCTAGCTGTTTTTTTTTTTTTTTCCCTCTGGCACTCTTACTTTGTTTACTTCAGTATCGTATGACAGGTTGTGGCATGAAGATAGTTATAAAGGAGCTGGAGATTGGAAAATATCTGTTAAAAATCAAATATGACATGTTCATCCTAGATAGGAATGTGCTTCGTTACACAACTATCGTGCTGTTTTAAGTGGATTTACAAGATTTGTCTTGTTACTTTCTTGGGAGTTTACAGGTTATTTGACACTCCCTTGGGCTATAAATTAAGGGCACATGCGTACTTGAAGGTTGATTTATTATTAAAAAAAAAAAAAAAAAACATATATACACATCCTACCTTTAGGTGTAAAGAGGCTTCTTTGTGCACCAAGCCTTTAAATTGTGAGCAGCAAGCTGCTACTTCCATTTTTCCTGATCATTTTGCTCAAGGATCTCAGCCCTCTCACCATGAAGAGCGTTGCTCTTCTTTTCCTAGTAGTGATCTGTGGCATGGGAGGTTTCGGACAGAAGCTGAAACCAAAGAAAAGAAGCAATGGGGAAGAAATCAGCTTTCGGACTAAAGCCAAAGACGCTTGCACAATGAGCATGAGTGGGGATGAGGAGATGAAGCTTAGAATTGAATGCAAAAACCAAGACAAGTCCTACTGGTGTGAATTCACCGGCAAACCAGCAGTCTGTCGTCCTTTTAGAAAGAATCCGAAGATTTACTGGAACCAGATCGCCGTGGAACTTCGGAAGCTCCCGCATGCCTGTGAATCTACTCAAGTGCTGAAGGCCACCATGTGCCAAAAGGCTCCCCCAGATGCTGAGATGAAGCAAATAGCTGCTGGCATGGGGCTGGAAGATCTAACAAACCAGGAGAAATCGGTCCAGAAAATGTTGGCTTCTACAAAGGGAGTAGGGAAGGGCTCCGTAAAGAAGATGGGGAAACCGCCTGTATCACCTCTTATAAAACCAGCCCAACATGGCCAAGGGTCTGTGAACGAAACTGAAGCAATGAAACTGGCACGAGAGCATTGCTGGGAATCACTGCATGGTTTCTGCTCCTACATTATCGGCATCTTTAGAGGTTAAGGATTTGCTTCAGGTAAAACTCCCCCTTCAAGCACAGCAGAAAATACCTAAGAATAATCCTGTAAGAGTAATGCGATTTTGTTATTCTGTTCTTGGGGCGCTCTCAAGGGTATGGAGAGGTTGTAGTCTCACTAACTCTTCAAAGTTGCAAAGCCAGAACTGGGGTCTCTGCAGGTCTGAACATTGAACTCTGGTAGTTCAGGCGTCTCCAGCAGCCTCCTATGAGGCCTTTAATATGTCTGGGATACAAGGCTTGTCATTTCTGTTGAAAGTAAATAGTGCCCTTCTGGAGATCACTTGTGTATTTCCTGTTTAGTCTGTATGTCTTAATCCCATGCTAAGTGAGTTCTAGCAGCTCAATTTGGGTTTATTTTCCCACTTCTGTCAGTTTTTTTCTCATGAAATAAGTTTAAAGTTAAAAAAAAATGCATTAGATTGATCCTGCAGTTCAGAGTACTACATCCAGAATTGAGAGAATAAAGCTTATTCTTCAAAAATGTTAATAATTGCCTAGTTTAATTCTAAAATTAGTTCATAAAAAGCTTGTAGGAATAAATAAAAGCAAACTGTTCAGATGTCTTAGTGTCTGTGTGTATTTTACAGAAGCGATAGGTGATCACATGCAGACTCAGTGGGGAAGTCGCATTTTTTCAGCCAGATTTAAAAGAAAACAAAGTCCTCACAGAAGTAATTGGATTTTACCTCCTTCCTTTTGCCTCAGAACTGGGAGCTGGCTGTTAAACTTCATAAACTTTCAACAGAAATGGGAATATGTGCAGCATGAGCCACCAAGTTAGTTTAAACATTTAGACTCTTGATGATTTTAATTGTGCTTACTACTGCCAGGTGACTAATTTTGTGTTTTGTTTTGTTTTGCAGAGCAAAATTTTTACAGCTGAAGAAAATTCTCTGCTGTAGTTTAATACTTTAGTCTAATGAATTTTGGTTTCAAAATGAGTCATCTCTATAAATCTTGTAGCTGTTTTTCCTTTGCACCTCTAAACTGAACCTTTTTAAAGCTCTTAAAGATGCATGAAACTAGAATGACTGTACAGAAAGTATTACGATACACAAATTATTCCTAAATATTACATTCAATGCAACTGGATTTATACAACTAAGGTTCCACTTTTACTTTAAAAGTGCTGTTCTTGAATAAGATGTTCTTTATGCAGATTTACTTTGATTTATTAGAGATACAAGCTGTAAATATTGCTACAGTTACTGCAAAATAATAAAAATAAGAATTTTGAAAAAATACTCAGTGTGTTTTCCTAAAATTTTATTTAAAAGATACTAGTGTGAATATTTAATGCCTGTGTCTTAAGAAATTGGAAGTTGTAGATTTGAGTTGTTACCATTTCAATGTTAATATGTTAAAATTAATATTTTTCAATATTATCATTACACTTAGACTATAATGGTAAGTTTCAGCAAAAAGCAAATGAAATGGAGAAATAAAAGATTACTTATAAAAAGATATTCATAAATAGGGCAGATAACAGATGCATGACAGGTGAACATTCCTAGTGTTCTATATTATTAATGATAATGGTACTAAACCTCTTGTTTGGATTCATTAAATGTTCTGAAAGGTAACTCGCATCTGTGTATTTATGAAATTACAAATCATTTACACAAATTTCATCACACATTAAAAAATTCCTAACAGCCTATGCTTAGTTTACAGCACATTTTATGCGTGATATAAATAGTAATTTGAGTTTTCTGTTGTTGCCACAAAACCCAGTAATACTCTGCATTTTCTGTTAAGCAGTATTTCTACATGTGTAATTGTACTTAAATATTTATACAACTTTATGCATAGCTTAATAGCTTATAATAATAGCTGATATCTCTCATTTCATAACCAGTAAATCCAGATCTTGACTGCCCTGTCACTAAACTATGCCTTGTACCAAACCTTGAAATAATCTTCTATCTACAAACCTTTTGAAATATTAAGTGGAAAGGAATGTAAGTAAGATGCAGCAAAATAATATGGGATAGAAGCGTGTATATACAAGGCAGATATCTAAGTGATAAAATGCAAGCTTGGGGCAGTCTACTTCTTGTCACACAATGTCATTTTTTGTTAGTGTGGTTAATCTTTATTTGTAGTTTCAATTATCTTTCCTAGTAATTGTATTGTAAAGGAAAAAAAAGTACATCTATTTACTTTTCTGTCATAGATATGAATATAATTTTTATTTGATTTTTTTCAAGTGGTTTTAATGTGTTCAATATATGGGAACTATTTGGAAATACAAAAGGAAAATTGAGGTATTTATTATTTTTTAAAATATTTTTAAGCACCTTTCTTTTATGATGTAAAATCCTTACTTTTTGCACTAGTTGCCATTACAGTGATAATGACTTTAAAGAGGGGAGAGTGTGTCTGTCATGTCTAAATCTTTGTAAAAATCAAACGTCACCACAGCACACTGAGAACAGGAGAAAATGCGGAGGCTTCATGAGCTCACTGAAGGAAATTTTTTCTTCTTGTGTTCTCTCTATACAACTGAATATGGAAGGCAGCAAAGTGAAATTGCTGGATACTCTACAGGACTCTTGATGCTATGGTCTAAAATAGATGGCCAGTGTTGATGTTGCTTACTGGATGACTATGTCATGAGTATTTGGTTGCTGTAGGAATTCGTATCGTGTTTCAGTACAGCAGAGTTCTTGCTGGGTAGGACTGCATGCTTGATGTTATGTTGTACAGATTGACTACCTTGGGCTTTACTGGTGAAGTAGCAAATAGCATCCAAATATTCTTGCATCAAAGGCCAAGTTGCATGAAGTCCTTTGTGTAAATTAGCCAGGACCTCAAATACATATTTAAGCTTTAAGTTCTACAAAAAGACGAGGGTATTTTGGTACCAGAGTACCAAACTTGGTGCATAGCTTGGGTTTTGTTGGATCAAGCAATTGTGTGCACCTTCATCAAGTTAGTTACTGTTAATGGTCTTGCTTTCAAAGATATAGAAATTGTTAATGGAAATAGCCCACCTAACTGTAACAGCACAGTGATTCTATCAGCTGCATTAGCACTTAATTGTGCTTAGTATTAGAATGTTCAGTCATGATATTTCAGCTACTATTTCAGTGTGAAAGTGTGATTCATTCATGAAAGGATGAATTGAGAAGTGTTTGTGGTAAGTTTAGTGTGGTTTTCAAGTGCTCAATGAATGGAACCTGTTATTTGATTTAGGTTAACCTTTTAGGTCCCATGTAATACCTAAAGAAGTCCACTAAAGCGGAAATGCAATTTGTGTTTTATTTTCTTGACAAAGGAACCACACACTAAATGTTTATTTTGGTTTGTGAAATCAGGAAGATGCTTGACACCCAAGCCTGCCTCTTCTCTTGCCAATTCAGTGAGATTTCAGGCAGTCCACTTGTCTCAAGATCCTCATATTTACATTATTACAGAGGCAACATGACTACTTGCTCTTTTGACAAGGTAAGAAAAAGCAAAGCAAAATGCATTTAGAGAACCTCTATGTAGAAGAGTAGGTATTTAACACGCAGTTGAAATTAGGAAATCAGTTAAGATTGTTTTGGAAACACAATGGGGAACACCAGTGGAGTGAGTCTAATGGAAAGCCACCCAGGTGATCAGGGTGCTGGAGCACTTTCCCTCTGAGGAGAGGTTGAGGAGTGGGATTTGCTCAGCTGTGAGAAATGACAGCTTAGGGAGACGGAGGTATGGGCAGCCAATAGCAGCCTCCTATAGGTAATGAGGAGGTTATTGAGAAGATGGAGCTGTGCATTTCACTGCCTTGCATGAGAGAGAACAAGAGATGATGGTAATAAAGTGATACAGGTGCCTCTATTTCTTTTTTAGTGCTTTTTATTTAGACTGATTTTGACACTGGTGAAAATCAAGGAAGTGAGATGTTCACAAGCACTAAAAATCATGTCTGTATTAAAGCCTAATACCCAGAACTAAAGAAATGCTAATTTGCAGGGGATTTATGCTAAAGAAGACCAAACTTGTGTCTAAGTTTTGTTGCTCATCTGCCTTTACAATATTTTGAATGTGCAATAGTGTGCTATGGTGTTTTCTGAGAGAACTGGTTAGTCATATTTTCTTTGATCACTCTCGCGTGGTTTTTGTTTTTGTGTGTGTTCTGCATTCTTGATTTTTCAGTAGGTGTCATAGTTGAGCATAGTGTGAATGGTGTGAAGGCAAAAATCTCTCAGGAAAACAAAAGTGGAGAGGAAGACTAAAATATCTTGAAATCCCCTATTGCTTTCTTGTTTCTTAACAATTTCTGCATTTCTACATTTTATTTCTCCCGTCCCAATTACTGTTTTGGGTCTTCATCTTGTTCCTTGCTGCTTCTGTCAGTGTCAGGACAAGACATTGGCAGAATCTCATGCATAGTAATCAGACATACTGAAATATTATTTATTACATTATTGCATTTTGTGTACAAGTTTTCTGCATAAATATCAAGCAGAGCCAGTTACTGAATTTTCAGAATAGCTGTATTATAGTGCGTCCAGAGCATGGAAAAAAATGAAGCTGCTGCCTGAGTTATAGCGGAAGCTCAGATTTCCCCTCCAACCCCATTCCTTAGCATGTTGTAAAATTGTTTGTGTACTCGACCGCCGGCCGCGCGTGTTCATGCCGCGTTGCGCTCCCTGGCCTCACAATGTCTGTAGTCAGGAAGAAAACAGAGGCGCCCTTTTAGGTCCACAGGCTCACAGGCTAAAGGAGCCACGTGTAAACTGGTGCTGGGGCTGCCACCTGTAAAAATGAATGTGTAAATTACAGAATTTGTTGCCTCCTTTATTTGACTTAGCAGTCAAATGGTGCGTGATGGGGCCCTCTCCTCAAACAGGGTTGTGATAAAATGAAAAGCTCAGGTAGGAAAGGAGGAGGACCGGAGGCTCCCCGCTGGAGAAAATGCTTAGGGAGATGCAGGTGAGTTTTCCAGGGGTACTGAGCTATTCCCCTCTTTTGTGGAGTTGAGAAATTTAATGTAGGTATCTGCAAATCTGTGTTTGCACACAAGGAAGGGTATCTGATGCCCACATGATTACACAGGAGACGGAGCCAGTGTCAGAACGGGGCCTCCTCATCTACCACAATAAAACAGCATTATCCAAGCAGCCATGTTTTGGCTATGGCCTGCCTCCAGCAGCACGAATGAAGCCGAAGCTCTGGTGTTCGAGTGAGGTCCCTCCTT